GTGTGAAAATATTGTCAGGTAAAATTAGTTAGGCTCCTGTGAGTACTTCATTCTCAACTCGTTCTTCTTGTTGGCACTAACTGAGGGCAGTAAAGTAGTTCCTTTGTTTTATTATGTAAAAAACAAGTTTGTAGAAAGTGTGTAAAGTGAATTTTTTGTCCTCTGCCTTATTTAACAGCTATTTTCTCAAACATTAGGTGATGTGTAGAACAATTCTTTTTTGTTCTTGAGCATATTTTCTTATTTTATTTTAGGTCTGCAGGCCTTCTATGACATAGGTTGTTTTTTTGTTTTTTTTTACTGCCTCATATCTCATTCAGTTGTGTTCAGCAGTAATTTTGTGTGTTTAAATTATGCAAGCTTGTGAAAGCTTATATCTCCCAGAGGAGAACTGAACTGTTATGGCAAAAGCGTTACAAATAAATCTAAAAAGCATCAAATAAAGAAGGAGATAAAACTCCTAAATCCACAAATTCTGTAATAAAGCTGATGTTTATACCTAGTCAGGTCAACAAACGTACCAAAAGGTTGAGGACACAAGCCACAATATCTGGAAAAAAAAGTGCATAATTTACTGAGTTTAAGAACCCCAACACCAGTGCACTCAGTCGTAAGCTTGTGAGCGTCCCCCAAATCTCACCTGATGCCTCTGCCCTTGGGCAACTCCAGAGAAGGAGTTAGGCTCTAAAGTCCAAGCTTTGTGTAAAAGTGAGCCCAGCTATTGCTAGTTGGTATCGATCAACTTCACGGACCAAATCTTCTGCCAGAGAAGTGATGTTCCACATCTCAAGAACCTGTATGTAACATTGGTGATTGACATGTCCAGGCCTTCTGCCTTGCATGCTATCCAGCTCACATTGCACCCAGTCTTGATGTCCCTCCTTGCACAGCGAAGACATCATGGAGTTCAAAGAGCCAAGGCCAAGAGCATTTCTAGCACTAACACCACCACCTCTCCAAAAGGATGCCTTATTTTCCTCTTCTGTGTGAGGTCGCCTGTTCAGTATAATATCACTTCATTGAGTATGTTGAATAGCTCTTGGTGTGCCCACCCCCGTCTGGGACAACCCCAAGGATCACGGGGGTCCAAAGGGGTTATACTGTACACATCATACAGCTTAAAATATATTGACTTTGTTTGACATTATTATTCAGGTCTTATAGGGCAAGTCAATTGTGGTCAAAAGTGCAATCCATATTAATTAATTAAAGTTATTTTTTGCAACTTTCCTCAAATAATGATTTTTTTTTTTTATGCATTTATTTATTTATTTGTCCTTTTTGTATACTTCGACTTGTGTTCACACATTGGATGCACAGAATAATACAAGACTGTGAACTTGAAAATGAAATAAAGGGTGAGTGTGGGTGGACAATGTGGTATTCTTTGAGCTGCAGTGAAGTCTGACAGCATAGATCACAACCTGCTCTTCTGATTTTAGCAGTGAAAGCTCAGCACAAGCTGTGACTGACAGCTTCTAAATTACATGATTTTATTTCATGATATCTGTATTTTTCATTACTTACGGCACAACTGAATGGAATATATGTATATTTATTTAATGCATCAAAAATAAATATATTTTTGCAACATAGACTGAACAATCAGATCATAAACATAATAAAAAATTAAAAAAAAACAACAGTTAAAAGGTGAAACCAAGAGCCTACAGTACTTGAATACAGGTAGGCAAAGAAACATATATTTATTTTAGATCACCTGTGTCATTCTCATTTATTTTAAGACAAAAATGTATTTTCAAATTGCATTAGAGCCACGACTTGTCTCATTATGCTGAACTGAGGGAACGCCTGAGAGTGTCTTAGTGACCATTCATCAAGTGCTGTCTCAATGCACTGCGTGGTGGAATAGTAAACAGAAAGGGATTCATTATACAACAAAATACATGCAATGCTTGTTGTTGGGATTGCGTCATCAATTTGATGCTGATGACTTTTGAGTGAACGAGGTATAAAGACGTGTGTGTACAGCTCAGGCTCCAGCTGTGAGAATTACTAAATAGCTTTGCTGGCTGTCTTGGCCACAGCTGGTTGAGTACTTTAGTGTTCAATACAGAAATGAGAAAGTTCAAATATTTATCCTATGAGTGACAGAAACTATAGGTAACATTTATATAAGAAAAAATCTCAACAGTATTTGATTGGTGTCTTATAAAGAAAGGAATGCTATGATTGTTTCTCTGCACCTTTGTTCAGCTGCATTACAGTTCTTTACACTTTGTAGAGGACGATTTAGCTGTTTTTGTCTCATTGTTGTTTCATTTCCTCTATTTACTTTTCATTTTATATGCTTTTATATTATGTTCTTTGTTTAAAACAGGTCTTTCTTGTAAATGAGTCCACATGGCTCATTGAGACGAACCTGCATAAATAAAGGTTGAATGAATTTGATGAACTATCTTTATTTGACACTTCTCTCAAAGTCTAGCAATTGCTGTGTAATCACAATTATTTTGAAGTCATTGTGATCATGTTTGAATCGTTGTCACATATGTCGTTAATCATCTTTATTTAAAAACAAATCTGAATAAAAAGATGTTTCCTTTCAGACACCGTTGTAATGCTTTCATGCTGCTGTTTCTTTCCCTACTGCTTTGTTTACACACATTCATTTCATCATCAATTTTTCCAGCGTTTTATTTGTATCTGGCAGCTTTCTTCCAGGTATTGTGTAAATAACTTGGTTTTTTTTTGGTTTTTGTTTTTTCTGATCCATGTTCTAATGAATGCTCTACTCAGTGTTCCCCAGGGGCCATGAGCCAACACTGTTAACTTTTTGAAACTCGCTGCTTCTGAGCTGTGTTGCCATGTGTTTGACTGTCATTTGTAACTAGGAGGCTCTTGAACAGTATAATAAATATGAATACATCTGGATTTTCTTTTGTTGATTAGCTGAATTTGTAGCAGCTAAATTGATCCAGTAATATCTACTTTGATTTATCCTGATGCATGCTCAATAATCCAGGTAGAAAAATCTAAAAAAAGTTAAATCTGGTCCTCTGGACATTCAAAAAAAAAAAACAATTGTAGAAACTTTTCGTCTTTCAGATGAAAGACAAAAAGTTTCTACAATTTTTTTTGTTTTGTTTCGTTTTTTGAATGTCCAGAGGACCAGCTTTTTTAGATACTTTGATTTATATCTTGCTGAAATTTTAAATAAACAAAATACCGTAGTTTATATGTTTTTAGTGATGACTTTCAAGATTAAAATAAATCAATATTTTATCACATGTATTTTTGTACATTAACGGACACATATTTTCTGTTTAAAGAATCTTTGTAATATAACCCAACATTGTTCAGTCAGGTCATCTGGATGGTTTATTTATTTATTTATTTATTTATTTATTTTTGTTTTGTTGTTGAGACATTTCAGCCTTCATCCAAAGGACTTCTTCAGTCCGAGAAGACACAAACAAACTCAGTCCCACAAGCAGCACACTCTCATGGTGATCCAGCCAGATTGATTTTGATAAGATGGTTTCTGGGGCCCGTCCTCTCACCCATCGACTCCTCTGAGGCAGCCATGACAAAGTCTTTCAAATCAACAAAGTTCATGCTCAATAATCAAGGTTCAAAAATCTAACATTGTTCAGTCAGGTCATCTGGACAGTTTCTTTTTTACTTGTTGAAAAGTTTCGTCCTTCATCCAAA